AGGCTACCTCTCCAGAGAAAGTGGAACTATCCACAGCAGGTGACGAAAGTCTCTTATCTATTTTGTTCCTAATCTGGCATGGTTACGAAAGGATTAAATGGTTGTGTCGTGGCTAAATACCATCCTTTCTGAAGAGATTCTTGCCAAGATCATTGATCTCCCTTCAGCGCATGCCATATGAACATATCTGATGAATGACTTTTTTTGGAAGAAGTAGAGCAAAAACCACATACCTTAAAGTATACCCCAAAAGGCAGCACTTTCTCTAGAATGGAGCAATCAAGAAGAAGTATCGGCAACAAGTAAAGTTTCAATATAGTGACGTAAAGGGGCTGGTTTAGAACCAGGTTTTTCCTAAAATCGATAGGCGGCAGTCATTGGTCTGACTGAAGCAACTTGATTCCCAGAATGTACTCCTTGAAAAGCTCTTGGCTTAGTATCGACTAACTGATGTAAGCACCCAACAGAAAGGGAAGATCATTGGGAAGAAATGGGGGCCATTGACCAAAAGAATGTCGGTGGCTTTATTAAAAGGGGAGCGAAGAAGGCTCGTCTGGATAACTTCAGTCTGCTGGTACGTAGGGGAGTCTGGTAAAGGGCTAAGGAGTAAGGGGCACTCTCATTCTAACCTTTGCATGGTGCCACCATAAAGTGATAGCGAGACCTGAGTCGAACTAAGGCATTTGTACTGGTCGTGCTAGGTTGAACCGGGGTTGGTAAGGAAGATTGATTCGAACCAATCACACGTAGGAAAATAGGCTAGTAATACTCTCACCTTCTGCTCTACCACGGTAGGGTCTTTTTTTTTTTTTTTTTTCTTCAGGAAAAAGATCTTTGATGCCAAGATCTTCTAGGAGACGCAGCTACCTATAGTAAGTAGGAAAGAACATCTTTTTGTCTTTGCTTGCAAACTTCTAATTTGACAAAATAACGTAAATAAAGTCCTCTGCCTACACTATTGGCAGGAAAGAAGGGCGAACAAAGGGACTCAAAAAGGTAGGTTAGCGACTGGGCGAAAGGTTGGAATTGATAGAGAAGGGCTTGGGGTCCTATTCCCATACTTGGATGATCGGATAATTATCTGAATGCTTGCCCAGTTGGCCACGGCTCGATGTGACTAAGTAAGCGACCCACCCTACTCTATCATTCAATCGTGATGCCTTTCTACAAAGATCCGCTCTCAGATAGACCTCAACTTTTTCCATGGATCCTGGGGGTAAAGGGATTGCATGATTTTCTTTCTTTGTGGGAAAGGTGAGCGATGGCCCGATCCTTTAATGCATCCTGCTGCTCCATGGAGAATTTTCCTTGTGGATGGGGGGATCGAGGCTCAATGTATGATGTACGATGCTATCGAGTTCTCACCTTTCTAGAAAGACATCAGCAACTACAGGCGCTTGCTAGCTTCCTACTAATGGTGGGGCCAGTCGATCATCCACCATCGATGGCGCCAGAGTCCAATCAAAATTCACATTACTCCCATCTGGAATGGGCTAACCAACTCAAAATTGAGCCCTGATGGAACTTTCGTATAGATATTGAATTGGAAAAAAAAAGAGTCCATACGGCTACAGCTGGAAAAAGAATCCAATTCAAAATAGAATCAATATGACAAGAAGGAAAATGCATAATGTGAAAACAAGATGGAACATGTGGAAGGATCCGAACAATTTCTTTTTTCTTTCATTTCGAGAGAGCACTTTTTTTATTACGTTATAACACAGTCAGGTAGGCTTATACCATTACGCTCACGAGTAGAATCTTTGAAATTTGAATTTCTTCACCACCATATAAGAAATTGCTCAAGTCTTTCCCTGTGCTGTGGCCTTTCCCACTTCCGTTGTATAGATTTTATTTGAAAGTTGTAAGAGCATACTTTCTTCCTTTCTTCTGTATTTGGGGACACTCGTAACACTCGTATCTTTCACTTGATCTCTATTTTTTATGTATTTTGCAAATTCATTGGACGGAAACATAGCCAATTTTTTATTTGATTCTCTCGCTCCTTGCTATTGGAGCGGCATACCGAAAAAAGAAATTGGAAGAAAGAATTTCAATTCGTTCTCTTTTGTAAAACATTTGTATCCACTTTCTGCCTATGTTATGTCAAGGATTGTTCAGTACTGACAGAGGGTATTGCCTTTCTTAAGGGGATGTAGGTCCTCGTGCTCCCCCTGACTTCTGACTGACCTATCTTTCTTTCTTTCTTCTGTTCTTTTTCTTTATTTGTTTTGTTTCCTGCCATCGTCCATAGTCCTAGTTTATATAGAGGTGGTGGTAGAGTTGGCGCTTCCGTTTCATATTACCTACGAAATTTCTTTCGATAGTTTCTCGTTTTTGGTAGTTCTCTGTTCTTGATAGTCCTGTGAGTAGCTCCTTCTCGTGTGTTACTAAAGCGTCGCCACCCTTTTGTTCTATTCTTCTTAGGTTCGCCCAGTTATATTTGAGGATTACATCGTTGTATTTGTTTCCTTCGTTTTCATTTTTAGTTCCTCTTTGCTCTCCTCTCTATGCATCCTCAAAGTGTAGCAATTATTCTTTCCTCTTCAAGTTCTTCTATTTGGTTTCAAAATCCGAGCCTGATAAACCTCTCCTGAAATGGCATTATCATGACTCACCTACCTCAATATCAATTGAAAACATGCGCTAGTTATAGGATGGAAGTAAATCGAAATCGGGGGGAGAAAATCTTCTCCCCGGATAAGGCCATTTCTCTCTCGAATCAGTGTAGCTATAGATGCTGCCTCGACTACAAGAACTTCTCTAGAGATCGAAGAAGAGCTAGAAGTAAGCTTCCTCACTCAATAACACATATCCCTACCTATATTCCCCCACTTTCTACTCTCCGAATAAGGCAATTCAGTGAACTAGATTCTCCTAACCCTATGTCTGACTAACTTTTCATGTTCACGTCTTTTTCTTCCTCATAATTTGCCGTAAGCTGCTATTGTTATATAAGAAAAGGTTCCATTCTCATCCTCCCTTACCAAAGGAAGGCTAGCTCGCTGCCCTTTTAAGTTAAGAATGAATTGGCACTGCACCCTAACCTTCTGGTCACTTCACTTAGCTTTCATGCCTGACTTCTTGTTATTTATACCCTGGTTTCTAATGGTTCACTTTGCTAGCTTCGGTCCCCTACTTCTGGGGTCCCTTCCTTGGGATTGGCTAACAACATCTGATATGTTCTACGCTCAGAGGTGCGGGACCCTCTTTCTTGTTATTTATACCCTGGTTTCTAACGGTTCACTTCGCTAGCTTCGGTCCCCTACTTCTGGGATCCCCTCCTTGGGGATTGGCTAACAACATCTGATATGTTCTACGCTCGGAGGTGCGGGACCCTCTTCGGCCCCTTGCCACCCGGTGAAACCCATGGAAATTCTTCCGGAAAGAAGAGGCCGATCGATGGTCACATACAACTCCTAACCACTCACCATCTTTATGTAGATGTTCAGTTCAAGGGCAAACCGCTGCTGGTAGCCATAATTGGGTGGCGCGCTATAGATCAAATCCTAAGTAGGTATAGGATGAACCCTAGAAGACGGCTCTACCGAAGGAAGCGAGTAAGGTGAATCTTCGTAACGATTCTAACGACCTAGCTAACCGTTGATTCAATGTCCTCTTAATTGGGGCACCGATTTTTTTCTTATTTTCAACTAGGTCTTTTCCAAACATGAGTTTGGGAATGCTCATTCTATACATCTCTTCGTCAATCTATGTATGAGCTTCTGGGTTATGTCTCTCTTACCCTCTTTAGTAGACATCAACTGCTTATACTGGAATTAAGATCTGTCATCCAAGCATCAAGCTTAATCTGTATAATGGTTATTAACTACTGGCATTGTGGGGTAAGAGTTCTTTAACATAGAAGGATGTCCCTTGGAAGGTTTAGCTACGTCCTGTAAGAACTTGCTACAAAGGGGCAACTTACTACCTCTCTGTCTCCTCTTCTTATATAGTTGATGGACTTAGTTTCATCGTATAAGAGAGGGGTCGGTGGGCAAGTGAGTTGATCTCGCCTTTGTTGATCCGCTTGAAGAGAGTTATCACGACCCTGCTACATCGCGATCATTTATTCCCAAGCGATAGAGAATACAAAGCACATAAGGCGCATGATGAACAAGAGGAGCTTCCCATCCCTTACTCCATTTCTTGTCTTAAATAGACAAAATAGTGGGCTTCCTTCTTCTATGAGTCGAAGACAACCTCGAAGCGCCAAACGAACTGACCTACCCAAGCCTTTTCCAAGCAAGATCTCAGCCAAATGAGCCTGATCATAACAAGTTTTAATTAAATCAATGGGACTGGCTTAAAAAGATGGAGATTTTCTCTCTACTAGCTGCCCCGCTCATAGAATGGATTGCTCAAGAAGAGCACTTTTCGGGCATAAGATAGCGAAGTTTTAGACTCTCATGAGGCGATCCAGAAATGGAATGAAACTCATGATTTGATGATGAAAGATCAACCTAGCCAACGTGGCCTATGAAACCGGTTTCATATCTTAAGTAAGAAAGGTGAGAAAAGGTTTTCTTTTCTCGTGCTTTCGACGCAGGTGCCAAAACCTAAGCATATAAATTTCAGTTCTTATGAGCTGGGACACCCAACTTCTCCCGAATAGGCACAAGCTGTGTCAACAATGGAGAGAGACAAGGGAGAGCAACTCTTCCTACTTTATCAATTATACTAAAAGTAAGTCACTGCCCAAGGTCTGAAACATGCTTTGTACTCAACCCGATGATCCACACTTTAGGGCCGAATGGTTGCAAGTTGCATGTCACCTTTATACAAGTTGCAACTAACCTTATTTGTGCAAATGGTAGACAAATTAGTATTTGCTTCCTTGCAAGTTGTAAATTTCTTCATCTCTTATGCAAGTTAATATATCCTTCTCATAGTAATCAATTTGAACTTTGCTTCTTCCTTCAAGCTTGTTGTAGTCAAATTGGACTTTACTTCTTCATACAAGTTGCAAAAGTTGGCGTCCATTGGTGTCCAAAACAATCTGCTGCATCCACGGTATTTATCCTCTCCAAAACATGACTTTTTACTTAGGAAAACCTCATTTCCATGCCTATACAGCCTGCCAGTGTTCTCCCTCTCTGCATCCCCTGCCTCTGGCAGTTACATCCTGCCAAAGGACCCTGTCTACACTGAGTTTTGCAGCTGCTGTCTGGAGGTTTCGGCCCTCAACCTGGGAGGACATAAGTTGTAGCTCTACATTGGTTTAGGTTATAGAAATGAGAAACTGCTCTCTTTTAAACTAGGCAATAAAAGGATATCATGTATGGGTTTTTAGAATCTACCAGCTTTAATTCTGAGATCTCTGCTTGCAGAATGATAATTGCAGATCAGTCGCTAATAACGGGGTTATAGATGCAATTTTTCATTGTTTTGACAATAATGGTGTGCAAGGAAACAATAGTGGCTAGAGCTTGCTGCTCGTTGTTGCCTAAGGTGCAAAGCCTAAAATTGGATTTTTCTTCTTATTCTTTTTTTAGTGGAAGCCCATTATCTGTACACCATATGATTATCTCATTTTCTACAGTCTATCTTAGAGAAATATGTTAGGTTGCTTGTATTTTCTATGCTATTGTCATGTTGATTAATAAAATAATCCTATCCTGACACGCCTAGATTGTACCAGTTTATGAAATTTAATACTGATTTGATTTTCACCATTTTATCATTTAACTTGTGATTCCATCATTGACATTTTGTTCGATGTCTTCTAATCAAAGTTTTTAAGGTCCCAAATAAGACATTTCATTTTCCTTTTTCCAATTGTGGTGCTTAGTTACCTTTTCGAAAAAATCATTTCTAGTATGCACTTACATATCATATACCATCCTACTCTTTGATGCAGTGTACTGCACAAATTTGTGCTCGGAAAATTTGAAGCATTTCTAACTCATTTACTTTATTAGTTGGCATGAAGTGATGCGAATACAAGTGTTATTGTTGAAAAGCAAGGCATGGATAGAGTTATCAAACTATCATCAGGTTTCTCAGATGGCCCTTTGATAAAACAAGAGGTAAAGTAATGGCTAGTTGGTTCATAAAAATGAATCATGCATAATTGAAATTTCCTCGGTTAAATAACCAAGGTTGGGTATGAGTCCATTTGAAGGACGTTGATGCAGAAATAGAAACATCCATAGCTGTTTCTTGTGTGTGTTCATGTGTTAACCCAATGAACAATACAAGAGAAGCCCTCCCCATGATATTCATATTCATCTTTTCGGGGTTAACTTTTCGTTTAAACTGCACATGGCAATATTGCTGACGAATTCATTTGCAACATTCAGTCGTAAAATGAGGTAAGGAAGAGCAGTTTATCGCTGTTGAGAAAACTAGTGGAAATTAGAGTTAAATTGGAAGTTAAAGCCGTGAACATCAATTAAGCAATGGTTGCAATATGATTGTGAATGTGTGATTAGAGGTGTAAAGCAAGTTGTGTTGAGCTACCAGAATCAGTTTTGCAGCCCTACTAGTGATGCATGTTTCTATGTCAGATATAGCATGTGATTAGCAATTTTTACATTACTTGGTGAATAGCTGTGTGCACTGGACTCGCCATGTTGCATTTAACTCGAGGCAGGTCATGTCCATTATATGCATACTGTGTTTAAGGTCCCCTGAAAATACAGCTGAAGCAGGCCATGCATAGGTTCCCAGATTCAGACCAACTGCAAAGGAACTCTTATTCATGATTAGGAACCTTGTGGTCAGGAATCCAGAGAACAGGTTGCTCTTTAACTTGGCTTTCCATAAACATTTACCATTGAGGCCATTTCTGAGATTCTATTTTATATGTGATTACTTAATTTTATAGAACGCTTTCGCTCGGAAATGATATTGAGGCACTCCTCAGAAAGGCCAAGGAAAGTCACAAGAGCTGCAAAAATGCTGCCACTGATGCTCTCAGGAATCTTGGACTTGATATTACAACTTATAATCCATTACAATGGTTATAAAGTCGAGAAGATGGAGATCCCCTCCCGGCGTGATACACGATGTTTCTTGTGTATCTTAAATAAGCATTTGGTTGCAAAAAAACAGAAGTCAAAGGTGAAATGTTTTCAAAATTTTCATCCTAGGATTCTTTGCACACCGTGCATTGTCATGTTACCAACTAGAATTGCTACATTGTCAGAAACTTTTGTTAGATTCCTTGACATAATGTCACATAGCATGTTATCATCGGACTATTTTAAAAATAGTCAATTTTCTACATCCAATCATACCCTGCCAACAAATCATCTATCAAGGAAGCAACATTTTCTGGTAAAATGACTTAACTCTATCAACAACAATGGAATGAGGAATATATACAAATTTTAGTCAAATTTATCATAATAAGAATACGATTTGAATTGTACTGAATCGAAAGACTATTCCCATTGCTGGACCGCGGTGGTTTGGTGGTTTCGACAGTTGCTCCGCCTTCCGCAGCCAGAATTTCTCAACAAAAGCTGCCCAATCACGTGATCAAACGAATGACCACGTGACATGATTGTCCTGCATGAAATGATATATATTCGTCAACTTTTATACCTTCTTCTTGGACCCCTATTGCGAAATATTGTTTTTCCTTTTTTTTTTTTTAAATAAAAGAAAGAGAATAATAATTGATGAATAAAGAATATGGGATAGAGAAAAAAGGTGAGACAAAAATAAATCAGAGTGCGTTTCCACCGGCGCCATACACTTTCTAAATGGGAAACATTATTGGTGGAATTTTGACAAATTAAGAGCTTATCATGTGCACTTTTGAATTTCTTTATTAAAGGTTCCAAATAGAATTTTTTTTTTTTTTTTTTTTTTGGCCATTTTTTCCCATAACTTATTTGAGGGAGAGAGAGAAAAAAGAAAAAGAAAAAGAAAAAGGGTTTCATCTCCGTCTATCGAAGTTTCTTTCAATTGTCGAGAAGCAAAGAAAGTAGCACACTCCCTAGGCTCTTTTTACTTTATCTTGATCATACTAGATTTACAATGTAGAAAGAGAACACTAGTTAATTTGTTCAGGATATTCAAAAAAATATGTAACGGGCAAATAAAATGGAATTACACAAAATAATCTAATTGCTCCGCAGAATAAGAGAAAATAAGCTCATTTTCAAAAATGAGTGCAAGAGTATAAGAAAAAATAGCCAAACTCACTTCAAGACCCAGCTTTTTGATGTTGATGATTTTCATGATCATGTGAATTCTTATGTTGTTCTTCCCCGGCTTCTTCAGGTGCATCTAGTGGCTCCGCCGCGCTGGAGGCGCTGCTAACACGATGCTCCGCCACAGTGCGGGGCTGCGGGTGAGGATTAAAGCCTCCATCAATACAAGAGGAGCATTTGATCTCAACCCACCTCTCAAAATCGTAACCTTGATGGCCCATTATTCTTCGACCCGAACAAAGCCGCCCGATCATCACAGATAAAGCAACCAATACCGTTATCATTGCAAGAACACCAATAACGGGTCCGACCGACCCATGACCCGAATGAGCTGTGTAGGCCGCTTGTTGGTCCATCACCGCCATTGGCGGTGGTTGCAGAGGGTCTAATACTGGTGGAATTGAGTCAGTCATTTTCACTTACAAGCTGAACAAAATATGTAGATTCTTGAAGTTTTGGAGCTGGGTTTACAAATATTTCTTGGGTTTTTTCTGCTTTTAATTGGATTGAAATTAGAGCGAAATTATGAGTTAATTTGAACAGGAAAAAAAGCAGATATGATAAAAGTTTTTGAGAAAGAGTGAATGTTTATATGGCCGCTTTTTCCTTTTTTCACAAGAAAAAAGTGAATGGAAAAAAGTAGTAGTAAACCGTTTGTACGTCCAAGGCCAAAGAGAGGAGGAAACGACTCAAGAAAGTGATAAGTACTGCCCTTAAATTGTAATCACAAACAAAGCTTTAGCTTAACCCACGCGAGACATAATTGTTCGTTCAATTTTATAATTATCCGTTTTCTTGAAGAGTCGTCATCTTTAAATTACTCAGGGAATTATTTCACAGGGTCTTTACAGACCCTCACATGGGATGCAGTCCCATGTGATTTTATTTTTTTTCCAAAAATGAACTATTCACACCACCTGCAATGTCTTACCTGCATCGATCTTGTAAAGTCCGCCCTGTACACGTAGTGCAGTTGTTGAATTAATTGTAAAGATCACATTTGTATAATTTTTAAAAGCATATTTACTATGTGGTCATGTATATATAGCTGCCACTAGATCAAAATAGGATGAAATGGCTTCTTACTCGCCACATCCTTCGATTTACATAATTTTAGCCATGCTCGAGTAAATGATATATTGCTCCAGATTGATTTAGATAAAAATTAGATTTTAAGTGAATTTTGATAAAAGTTGATTAAATGTGTAGTTGAAAAATTAATAAAAATTGTAGATCTCATAAAATTTGTGATTTAAATTAAATGTTAAATTTGACTTAAATTTTTATCAACTTTTTAGCTTAATCAACTAGAGACTAAATGTAATGAACATACCGTCAAACCTACTCTTGAAATCTCGTAACGAGAGAGACAAGTCTTAAAACACAACTAGAGTTCTTAGAAATTTAGTTTAATGACAAAGGAATATAACTCAAAGATTCCGATTCAAAAATTAATGTGGATGTCACCAACTCATTTGCGGAAAGTGAAGAGAGAAGAATCTCAGTGCAGTATAAAATAGATTTCTTTTGTTGGTGGGGGGATCATGATTATTAATCTTGCTTTTTATATAATAATTAGAAAAATTTATAGTTAATCATCTGAAAAATGGAGTATATTTGAAAATAACTTAATAGAAAAGGAGAGCAAGTAATCTCTTTGGATTTTCATTTTTCTCCGCGGACAGTATGCTCAAACTGAACAACCAACTTCCTTATGTTGGAATATTTACCCGGGAATGCTAGACACGACGAAAGCACAAATCCAAGAACTCGAACCGAAGTTATAGAAAACTTGGAAATGGGGCTTGAACATGTTGAAAATAACAATGTCTTAGAAGTGATATTTGCTCCCTCTTGATTTATCGGATACTTTCGGATCTCTTTGCAAGTGTTGGAGACGACTTATAAAAAGGGTTATGTAAGGGTGGTTTTTTATATATTTGTTTGACTAATTTTAACTCGCAATAACGTGATTTGGACAGAGTTTCGGTATAACGATTACGCAAAATAAGGATTAAGAAGGAGTAGAAATAGAGAATAATCCAAGGCGAGACGTTGTCTCTTTCCTTAGGACAAATTGCCCCGTTACGGCGCTCACGATGAATGACACTTGACTTCCAACATACAATGGATTCACAACTTGTAGTAGCAGCACTTCAAATCATAAGAAATCGACGAATTTTTAACAGAATTTTTCCACTACAAAGGAAATGCATGAAAATGTTATGGAATTAGAAGGGAGAGAATTGCAAGAGGAGAATGAATGCTTAATGCAATTGGTGTACCCAAAATCATGTCCATTGGGTCCTATTTATAGATGTAGAAAGGGTGCAAATGAAATAGTGTGATCAAAACATGCATCCTTTTGAAAAGTTGCAACACTTGGCAAAAACCTGCATCCTTTCGAAAAGTTGCAACACTTCATTTCTTCCAACTTTGATCCACAATTTCTTACTCATTCGGAATTGATTTCGAGATTCCAAATATACCACGACGATCTACTCGACGAGTAGAATAAGTTGGTCTATTTATTTTTGTAATTTGACCATTGGATCAAATCCGAATATTTGGTCAAAATTGACACGTGGTCACACCTTTTCATTTTCCACTTTTACACACATTTTCATTTTTCAATTTTTGGTTAATTATTTGAATCAATTCCTACAATCCCCCACATGAATAGAAATTTGGGTACGTACATGCAAATGTGATAATATGATGCAATGTAGAGAGGGTGCGAAAAAATACTATATCAGGGATGGTGGCTTCTGGCCTTGAACCTCCCTTAGTGAAATACTATCGGACTTATTCGGCTAATTGGTGAACCTTAAGTCTTGAACCACTCGGCCTTTGGTGTAAGTCAAGAAAATAGTACTCACACAGATATCTTCCCTATTCTGTACTTAGTTCCCTTGACTTGGTTCATTTTGACCATGAACCCTTCTTGGTTTCATAAGTGTTTAGAGAATTCAAACCTTAAACAATTCTTATCGAAGCGGCCCCACTTCACACTTACATAGGTGACCTCCTATTAAGAATATTCTGCCCTACTCCACCTGACTAAATCAAAATATAGGAATCGTTAAAAGTTAATCTTAGCCTCTATCCACTGTGCAGAAAGCACTTTAGTATCATAGGAATGAGTTAGGAATTCAAATTTCCTAAGTGCTTCATGGAATTTTCACAACTTAGTTGTCCCTTTGAACCAAGATCTTGAGATCTCCAATCAACAATGTAGGGTTACCATTGCAAAAACTCTTACGTAGTAGGCTTTAATCACATTCATCTCGATAAACAACGCACTTGATCTCTAGGTAAACTTTTCATAAGTAGATCCACAATATTCTCCTTTGATTTTACATAATCTATGGAGATAACGTCATTTGAGATCAGTTGCTTAATGGTGTTGTGTAACGCCCCGACTCCTAGTGGACCGGAACGCTACTTACTTTACTTAGCTTAGCCGGTGGTTTAGTAACAAGTGTATACGTTTTAGCGGAAGCTTGCATCTTCGGATAATAATTTAAATAACAATATTTCAAATACTTTAAACAAAAATACTGAATCATTTTTTAAAACTACAAAATGTAATTTATTTGAAGAAAATATAACTTGTTCTCGTATTCTGTGTTATTCAAAACTTTAAAGAAATAACATTGGAAAACATTTCATAAAAATAAATTCAAATCACTTATTCACCGGATTTCCATAGGCTAGTTGCATTACTCTCCATCTTCTCCTTGTATCTGCATAGCTCTTTTGTCGATCCTGTGCTGCCTTTATTCTTGCACGGATCTTATCTATTACCTCGACCGTCCTTTCAACTATTTCTGGTCCTAAAACTCTCTTCTCTCCGACTTCATCCCAATGAACAGGGGATCTACATCTTCTACCATAGAGGGCTTCGTATGGTGCCATTCCAATAGTTGCTTGGAAACTGTTATTATAAGCTAACTCTACTAGAGGTAAGTATGACTCTCAATTACCTCCTAGATCCAAAATACATGTTCTCAGCATGTCTTCCAAAGTTTGGATGGCCCTTTCAAACTGACCATTAGACTGAGGGTGATATGTTGTACTAAAGTTCAGCTTCGTTCCCATAGCTCCTTGTAGACTTTTCCAAAATTTGGACGTGAACTTTGGGTCTCTGTCAGACACAATGGATACAGGTACACCGTGTAATCTCACAACCTCTTTAATGTACAACTGTGCCAATTGGTCTAAACTGAATGTCATTTTCACTGGAAGAAAATGAGCTGACTTCGCTAGTCGATCCACTACTACCCATATAGCATTATTTCCTCTTGTTGACTTCGGAAATCCAACCACAAAACCCATCGTGATATTTTTCCATTTCCATTCAGGTATATCTAGTGGATTTAACAATCCAGCTGGTTTTTGGTGTTCTGCCTTAACATGTTGACATACCATGCACTTCTGCACGTACAGCCCTATACTTCTTTTCATATTTCTCCACCAAAATGTATCTCGAAGATCTCGATACATTTTCGTACTACCGGGATGTGTGATATACGGGGTGGAATGAGCTTCTTTAATATCTCGTTTCTCAAAACTTCATCCTTAGGCACGTAAATTCTTCCTCTAACTATCAGTGCCTGATCCTCAGTTATTCCAAAGTCCTTTTTATTATCGGTATCAACGTCATTCTTAATCTTCTGTAAAAATGAGTCTTTATTTTGTAATTCTATAATTCGATCTCTAAGAATAGGTCGAATTATTAAAGCTGCTAGACGAGCAGTGACTTGTCCTGGTGTGGTAACCACTTCGATCTGCAACTTTTCCAAGTCCTTGATTAACTCTACTTGAGAGGTGGGTAGTGACGTCAATTGTCCCATTGATTTTCTACTTAGAGCATCGGCCACAACATTAGCCTTACCCGAATGGTAGTGAATAGTGCAGTCGTAATCGTTCACCAATTCCAACCATCGTCTTTGTCGCATATTCAATTCCTTCTGTGTGAAGAAATACTTGAGACTTTTGTGATCTGTGTAGATATCACACTTTTGTCCATACAAGTAGTGTCGCCATACCTCCAAAGCGTGTACTACCGCTACAAGTTCTAAATCATGCGTCCGGTAGTTCTGCTCATGTTTCTTCAATTGTCTTGAAGCATAGGCTATCACTTTTCTATTCTACATTAGTACACATCCCAATCCTAGCTTTGATGCGTCGCTGTATATAAAAAACCCTTCCGTAGCTTCAGGTATTGTTAATACAGGTGCTGATATTAACTTCTGCTTAAGTTCTTGGAAACTTTGTTCGCATTTTTTCGTCCATTGGAATTTTACTCCCTTCCTTATAAGCTGCGTCATTGGTCCAGCTATTTTGGAGAATCATTCTATGAATCTCCTATAATATCCAGCCAATCCTAGAAAACTCCGTACTTCGCCAGCATTTGTTGGTGTTTTCCAGTTGATTACTGCTTCTACTTTTGCTGGATTTACTTCAATCCCTTGGGCAGTAACTATATGTCCAAGAAATCCAACTCGTTCAAGCCAAAACTCACACTTCTTGAATTTGGCATACAGTTTCTCCTTGCGTAATACCTCTAAGGCTATTCTCAAGTGCTCTTCATGTTGCTCCTTACTCTTGGAATATATCAAAATGTCATCGATGAAGACTGTGACAAACTTATCCAAGTATTGATGAAACACTCGATTCATCAGGTCCATGAACACTGCAGGTGCATTGGTTAGCCCAAACGGCATCACTGTAAACTCGTAGTGTCCATATCGAGTTCTAAAAGCTGTCTTAGGTATATCCTTTATCTCTACTTTCAGTTGCTGGTATCCCGATCGTAAGTCGATCTTGGAAAATACCTTAGCTCCTTTCAGTTGATCTAACAGATCCTCGATCCTCGGGAGTGGGTACTTATTCTTGATGGTTAATCTATTTATCTCCCTATGATTGATGCACATCCTATCTTTCTTCTTTACAAACAACACTGGCGCACCCCATAGAGATACGCTTGGTCGTATGAAGCCCATATCTAGGAATTCTTACAACTGTTTCTTTAATTCTTGTAGTTCCTTTGGGGCCATTCGGTATGGGGCCTTAGATGCTGGTGCCGCCCCGGGAATTAGGTCTATGGTGAATTCCACTTGTCTATCGGGTAGAATACCAGATAGATCTTCTGGAAACACATCTACGAATTCCCGTACTACTGGTACATCTTCAACCCTTATCGTCTCTTCTTTCCCTCCTGAGATACTTACTAGATATCCTTGACATGTTTCTTTTCTCAACATCTTCTCAGCTTGTAAAGCCGATACTAGTCGAATAAGGGGTTTCGTCTTCATTCTAAGGAACGAAAATGGTTCCTCTCGTGGTTTCTGAAATGATACTTCCATTTCCTTACATCGGATGGTGGCGTAATTTCAACCTAACCAATTCATGCCTAGTATTACATCAAAATCCTTCATTTCTATCATGTATAGGTTCACTTCCATTAGTTTTTCCTCAACTTCGATACTTACTGACTTGGCTATTCTATCAGTATTCAAAGGGTTGCCCGAAGGAATACTAACTTCTAATGTACCTTCCGACTTATCAACGGTAATACTAGATTTAGCCATAAAAGTTGTTGAAGCAAAGGAGTATGTAGCTCCTGAATCAAACAATACATAAGCAGGTGTATTGGCTATCAGTAGAGTACCTGTTATGACATTAGAGTTTTCCTCTGCATCCTGTTGAGTCAATGCAAAAACTCGTGCTTTCCCTTTCTGGTTCTGGTCGCTGTTATCATCCTTCTTCTGGGTATGTGTGGGACAATCCCTAATGATATCTCCTGGCTTGCCACATCGAAAACAGATATCTTTCCCTTGTAAACACTCGCCCCGATGTGTCCTTCCACACTTATAACAGGGCACAATAACCGGCACAATGCTTATGCTGGCATTGGCTCCGCCATTAGCTTTCTTGTTCTGCCACTTGCCTTTTCCCTTGTCCTGGCCATTCCATTTCCTTTTTCCCATGTTACCATTGTCCGGTTGATTGAACAGTTGACCATGTTGTTCGGCGCTAGTCTTCTGGTACCAAATAGCATAAGCTCTTTCCAGCATTTCACGATATATGGTGAAGCGATGGGACATAAGTATCATGCTTATATCCGAGTTCAGCCCTTGTTCAAACCTTTGTACCTTCTTATCCTCCGTATCCACTAGATGTGGAGCATACCTTGAAAGTTGATCAAACTTCCTCTCATACTCAGTCAGGGACATAGTCTTTTGCTTGAGTTGGAAGAATTCACTTTCTTTGTGATCCCTCAAGGACTGGGGAAATTACTGGTCCATTACTTCCCCTTTGAATTGCTCCCAAGTCAATTCTGCTTATTGCTCAGGGGTCCTTGTCCTTGACATTGAGTCCCACCAGTGACTTGCATTATCGGAGAATATGAACTCAGCACACTGGACTTTCTGAGTGTCTGTGCACCCAATCAATCGAAATATACGCTCCAACTTGCGAAGCCACTCCTCGGCTGCAAGTGTATCAGCTGCTCCGTTAAAGGTAGGGGGCTTGTGTAACGCCTCGAATTCTAATAACTCGAAACGTTACGAAACATGAATATACCTTGAAATAAATAGTTTTAATATAATGAGAAATTCTGTAAAAGATTGAATAACATTTAATCAAAAGATAAATTTAAATAAGCGGAACGTTTGAAAACATATCATTCATCCAAAAATTATTAGAACAGTTAAAACTAATTAAAAATTTATAATGCACTCACAATTGGGTCAAAAATGAATAACCCATTATTAGTTCTAGTGTTTTTGAAAATTAAAATACTTCATGACGAGGATCCGTTGGTCCAATAACAAATCCATCCACCGCCGTCCAGCATACTAATTATTACCTGAAAATTGTAAATAAGGGGATGAGTATAACGAATTATACTCAATGAGATACTTGCTACTCCACATTCAAGTCAAACATGAAATTACAAATAAATTATCTTACCAACATAACATGAGAATTATCACTCCATGACAAATGATAATTCTAGCAAGCGCTGCAAAATAACGTGAAGGCTAGATTGTGCCTTAAAATATATCATGATTTTGAAGATGAAAGTGGAGAATAAAATTGCAGAAATGTGATTGCAATTCCAAAGCCTTAAAAAATCTAAATAATATAGAGGAATATTTTAAAGAGGGAGAGGTAATGGACATGTAGTAGAATGTGGTTTTAGTGCTCTATTTATACTGTTGAAGTCGGGTAATCACTTGGGGGAAGTGGAATTTCAGCCATATTTAAATTCGTATTTCGTGCAATCTTCTGAGAAATTGATTCATAATTCCCGATTGATATAGTATGACTGGAAATTAATTATTGGTTTTCTGCCAATTTCTATATCAATTACAATTACAACAAGGAAATGATAGGCATTACACTGCATGACTTTTACACGTGGACGGGGAAAACAAATCTGCCTCCTATTTGCATAATTTACTCTAATACAAACATCTTAAATTGTCAATCTCCTAATGGCCGAGAATTATAAAATGTATGCTTATTAATTAAATTAGAATTTCAGTCCAATCTTCCCAAAATTTGTTCCAATTAGGGGACACAATGATTACTAATTATATGGACACGTGAAAGTTGTAATGAAATGCATGGGTTACTCATGTACTAAAGTCTAACATCAAATAATTCAAATTCTTTTGATTTGCATTTAACTAAATTTGTAAGCAGGAATTACGTTTTAATTGATTACCTCTTAATTAAAAATGTATAATTATTAATACTTAACATAAAGACTTTGTTTAACCAAAACTTAAAATTCTAATTTATTTAGCTAAACTAGTGGTGACAGTCAACTAGCGAAAAATATAATCCTTTAAAACTCTTATAAACATAATATTCTTTAGACGGCTAAAACTCGGGTTTAACTTGACCAAATTAAATTTTTCTTGAGTCCATAATTCGCCATTTATTATGAGCTTCAAAATGAACCCAATATTGGTAGAGTAATTCTAACTCCTTCAATAGTAAACTATTTGGCCCATTTAATAAAGTATAAAATAATTTGATATTTATTTTTTTTTCAATTTGCTCCCTCAACTAATAAGATAACTATAGAGATAATCAATTAACTTGCATAAGAACTTAACCAAACATTGCATTCCTATTAAATGGCAAATAAAAATATATGCGAATTTAAGTTAAAAATTCGGGATTCTACAGCTTGTGCCTTCGAAATTGCTTGACCACTGAAGTATGGTTTGGAACATTAGGAGCTAGTGGTAGGGGTTGATCTGGGTTCGGGTTTTGTCTGCCTAGGCCTTGAACCACTCGGAGGAGGTCTCTTATCAAGTTTTGGTTTGCGTGGGCCATTTCCTTTAGATAAAATATATGGTTCTTATTAGTTTCATTCTTCGAATACTAAAGCAAAGAAGATAGTATTTTATTTCTTGACATAAGGGAAGCTATTACAAGGATTTAAATCTAATCCCTATAAGTTCTACGGATCTTCTTTGGTAGAGCTTCATCTTCGGAGGAGTCTTTCGCCTCAGGTCCGGACTCTATGTCCATCTCAACCTGTGGCTCAGGCTCAGGATCATTCTCTAAATCATCCTCGAGTTCTTCTTCGGGATCTTCTTCCTCAGCCAAAGGTTCCTCCTCAGGCTCCTTATGGATTACATCATCCCACAAATCAATCAGAGCATGGCAATACCTCTCAAACTCGAACAGGTTTGGGTTGCCTTCTAACATTTCATCTCTAACCGTAACTCTCATATTTCCCCATTGAGGTGGGAGGGAGTGTATGGGGTTATTTATGGCCTCAATATGCGTGATCTCCATACCAACATTAACCGCCGTCATGCATCTCTCATAGATGTCATACACATGTTAGCTAAGCGGTCGGGTCGGATCAGTTACATAGTTTTCATAGGAATGAATAGCAATTCTACGGTTCAATGCTTCTCTATATGCCCTAGCCGTTCTACGAGCCATATCTGTTGCATTTTCACATACATCATATTTTTTCTTTGCTTAAAGAAAACATGCAAATATTTAAACTTTCATATCATGCAATTCCCTTTAAGCCCTTAGCTTTTGCCCAAGTCCATTACATATCTTTAAATAACACATCTCTAAATCATATTAAAGCATCATAACATAAACATAATCATTAACTTTAAATATGAACATACCTAGGCCATAGGATGAGATTGATGGATGGATGCACGATGCCATGGAATACCTTAAACTTTTCATTTTCCTTTTATTTTAAAAAAACATACTTGGTCTACAGAACTGGCTAAATCTTGCTCTGATACCACGCTGTAACGCCCAAACCCCTAGTGGACCGGAACGCTACTTACTTTACTTAACTTAACCGGTGGTTTAGTAACAAGTGTATACGTTTTAGCGGAAGCTTACATCTTCGGATAATAATTTAAATAACAATACTTCAAATACTTTAAACAAAAACACTGAATCATTTTTCAAAACAACAAAATGTAATTTATTTGAAGAAAACATAACTTGTTCTCGTATTCTACGTTATTCAAAACTTTAAAAAAAACATTGGAAAATATTTCATAAAAATAAATCCAAATAACTTATTCACCGGATTTCCATGAGCTCGTTGCATCACTCTCCATCTTCTCTTCCATCCATGCCCGAGGTAGAATTCCTTCAATCTGTAGGAATGGGATTAAACCCGTGAGTTGAAAAACTCAATAGGTGTCATAGGTGCATTCGTGATTAAGCTATACATTTCAAAACATTAACTTTATAACTTTTCATACATGTCGTACCCGGAGGCACCATTTGACATGAAGGGGTATGCCGTACCCGAGGGCACTATTTGACATACGAACATTTCTTCAACATAGAGGGGTATGCTGTAACGGAGTACCATTTGATATACAACCATTAACATAGAGGGATATGCCGTATCGGAGTACCATTTGACGTACAAACATTAACATGAATCGAAACTTATAACTTAACACGATTAAACACATTGCACCTCTACCTACCTTGATTGATGCTTTTGAAACTTTGAAAACTTCAATGAAACTTGGACGTTGAAAGAAATGCACTCCTTGGATGTTTGAAAACCGTTGAGAATTGATGCTTGAAAACACTTCTTAAACTTCTAGGAACAATAGTTTTCCTCCCTCTCTTTTTCCCTCTTGGAAACTCTTTCTTTAGTATATAAAAGCTCTTGCTTTTGGTGTGAGAAAAATGAGTGAAATGAGGTCTCTATTTATAGGTAAATATCTCATAGCTTAAAGCAAATGAAGGGTCAATTTTCATTTAAGAGAGAAAACATGGGTGCCATTTAAGTTTGAGGTTAAATGATTCAATTTAGTGGGATTTTTATTGCCAAAAACGTGGGTGGCCCGTTGAGAAAATAATTGATGAAAATAAATATTTAAATTCTAGAGAAAAACGAGAATTTTCATTTCAGGAAGTTTCGGTCGACCGGTTGTAATCCGGTTAACACTGCACAGCTTTCAGTATTTTTATCATAACTTCTTCTCCCGATATCCGATTGAGGTAATTCAAAGTGCGTTGGAAAGCTAACTCAAAAGAGCTACAACATTTATTTAGATATCATTTTCCAAATCGAATGTTTCCTATGTCGAAAATGAGTCTCAAATGAGACTAAAAATCTGAAGTATACTTTAGTCATTCAATATTCATGTCTTAGTCCCACTAAGGTGTATAGAATTATTTGGGGTTCTACATGTTGTGTCTACGATGAATATGTCTAAACTTACCATTATACATGCTACTCCGAGCCCTTCCAATTGTTGATTGACTATCACAATGTATACTTATCGCAGGTACTGGCTTGGGCCAACATGGAATATCTTCTACGAAATTTCGAAGCCATTCTGCTTCTTCTTTAGCTTTGTCCAAAACAATAAACTCAAATTTCATCATTGATCGAGCTATGTACGTTTTCTTTGTTGATTTTCATAATACAGCAGCTCCACCAATGGTGAATACATAACCACTAGTGGACTTGGAATCCTTCATATCGGATATCCAATTCGCATCACAATATCCTTCTAGTACCGCAGGATATTTTGTAAACTGTAATCCATAGGTTAAGGTATACTTTAAGTACCTTAGAACCCTCGTCAAAGCCTTCCAATGATCACGATTTGGATTGCTTGTAAATCTAAGTTTATTCACCGCAAAAGCAATATCCAATTGAGTACAGTTTGTAATATACATAAGACTACCAATTATTTATGAATACCTTAGTTGTGATATGCTTTCTCCCGTATTCTTGACTAAGTGCATACTGGGATCAAGAGGAATTCTCACAGGACTTTCCTCAAACATGTCAAATTTCTAGTATTTTTTTATGTAGTGAGATTGTGAAAGTACAATTCCATCTTGCGTTCTAGAGATTTTAATCCCTAGGATTACATCTGCCACACCCATATCTTTCATATTGAAATGCTTTATTAGCATATTTTTTGTGTTAAGCAATATTTCGTGACTATTGCCCATTATTAATATATTGTCCACATATAGACATACAATTATATAGGCATTCGGTGTATATTTAATATATACACATTAGTCACATTCGTTGATCTTGAATCCATTTAACATCATTGTTTTATCAAACTTTTGGTGTCATTGTTTAAGAGCCTGTTTTAATCCATACAAGGACCTAACAAGTTTACCCACTTTGTGTTTTTGGTTAGAAGAAACGAACCCTTCAGGTTGCTCCATGTAAATCTCCTCTTCTAACTCACCATTTAGGAATGCTATTTTTACATCTATTTGATGAATCTCAAGATTGTGTATTGCCGCAATTGCAATTAACAACCTTATCGATGTGATTATAGTCATGGTGAGTAGGTATCAAAGAAGTTAAATCCTTCTTTTTGCCTATATCCTTTAGCAACCAATCTAACCTTATATTTATCCATGGATTCGTCAAGTTTCAATTTCGTTTTCATTATTCATTTGCATTCTAAAGGCTTGTTACCGGGAGGTAAATCAACCAACTCCGATGAATGGTTTTGCATTATAGAATCTATCTCATTATTGATAGTTTCTTTCCAATGTGGTGTTTCTGGTGTAGACATTGCTTCATCAAAAGTCTTTGGATCATCCTCTATCATATAGGTTAGAAAATTTGGGCCAAATGTCTTGGAAATTCTAGCCCTCTTACTACGCCTTGGTTCTTCCTCATTTGAAATTTCATTGGTAGTTTCATATGTTCGCTTGTTAGAACTCGTATTTTTTTATCTTTGCAAGGAAAAATATTTTCAAAAAATGTCGCATTCCTTGATTCAATTATGGTCCCTATGTGTACGTCTTATATTTCAGATTTGTGTACAAAAAATCGATATGCATTACTATTATTGGTGTATCCAATAAATATGCAATCTATCGTTTTAGAATCGATTTTCACTTGTTTAGGATTAGGTACCTCAACCTTAGCCAAACACCCCCACACTTTCAAGTATTAGTAGGATGGAGAATGGCCTTTCCATAGTTCATATGGTGTCTCTTTCATTTTCTTAAGAGGTATTTTATTAAGAAGACTATTTGTTGTTAAAATAGCCTCTCCCCACATGTTATGTGGTAAACCCGAACTTATTAACATGACATTCATCATTTCTTTAAGTGTTCGATTTTTGTGTTCTGCAACACCATTTGATTGAGAAGAGTAAGGTGTCGTTGTTTGATGAACAATTCCATGTTCAAAACAAAAATCTTCAAATGGTGCCCCATTCAACTCATCTATCATTACGAATACTCTTTATTCGTTTTTCAAGTTGTGTTTCAATTTCAGCCTTATAGGTTTTGAATGCATCTAACGTTTCGTCTTTACTTCTCAAAAGAAAAACATAGTAAAATTTTGTACAATCATCAATAAATGTCACAAAATATTTCTTACCACCTCGAGTTTGTACAAATTTTAGATCGCATATATCGCTATAGATCAATTCAATAGGGGTTGTGTTCCTTTGTATTGAATGGAATGATGTTTTAGCCAATTTTACTTCAACACATATTTCACATTTATGATTATGATTGATTTTATGCGCTGGAATTAAATTTTGATTCATTAGTTTGCGCAATGATTTGTAATTCACATGTCCTAATCGACTATTCCACAAACATGAAGGCTCAAGCAAATAAACGAAATTTATAGTTTTATTCATAACGACTTGCTTCGGTGCAATTGTAAGAACGTTCAACTTGAACATTTCATCACACATGTATCATTTCCCTACATACATCTCATTCTTAGACAACACAAATTTATCAGATACAAATACAAGTGTAAAACCATTCTTGCTAAGTAGAGACCCGGACACTAAATTCTTTCGTATATCCAGCACATGTTGAGGACGAGTTCTTTCCCGGATGTCATCTTCAAAGTGACTTTGTCTTATCCTTCAACTTTGTAACTTGCAGAATTTTCCATGTATAATTGTTCCCCATCCAATTCTTGATAGTTGGAGAACATCGCTTTGTCCGCACACACAAAGGGGGTAGCGTCGGTGTCAATCCACCATTCTCTAGTATTTTCAATCATGTTGCATTCGGACACTGCTGCAGATAAACTCATTTCTTGCAGTCCATCGGATAGAGTGTTATTTGCAACCATGTGGGTTTGAGCATTTTTCTTTGGTTTTCGACGTTCACTTGAACGATGTCCAACCTTGTCATAGTTGTAACAATTCCCTTTGAACTTCTTAGCCTTCTTGGAATTGTCTTTTCGGGTGCATAATTAGGAGACTTTCATTTCTTGTTTGTTGCCTTTGGTTTCATTTCAACAAAATTTTCATCATCTTGATCAACCGGCCTTCGTTTGATTTTCCGATTGTCCTCTTCAATTCTCAAGCGCACAATCAATTTTCCAAGTTCATTTCCTTGCATTTGTGCTTGAGGTAATTTGAAATCTCTCAACATATGAGAGAGTTTCTCAATAATGGCAGCCACTTGGAATGATTCACTCAATTCCATTTTCTCGACATGGATGTTGTACAACAAGACTTGAATCTCTTGTACTTGGATAATCACGATTTTGGAATTCACCATCTTGTAGTCAAAAAATTTGCTAACAATGAACTTCTTCGTTCTGACATTATCGGTCTTGTACTTTGTCTCCAAAGAATCTCATAGTTCCTTGGCTGATTCCTTTAAACTATACACCCCATATGGTATATTATCTAATCCATTTAGGATATAATTCTTTCATAGGAAGTTTGAGTGTTTCCATGCATCCAAAGCAATAATCGATTCACGATTATTTTTCCCTTTTTGTATAGTCGGTGCGTTTCCTTTAGAAATTTAGTCAAATTAAGAGTGGTGAGATAACACATCTTCTGTTGCCACCTCTTGAAGTCTACTTCTGCAATCTTTTTCTATTTTTTCCCCATGTGGGATAGTAGTATTATGCAACGGTATGGCCACGGGTGGTACCACATTATTGGAACCATTTTGACTTGACGAAGTCCAGATGGTAGTCATTTATATTACACAAATAGAAATTCAACAAAATGATAATAATATCGGTGGAAAGCACTATTCAAGCAAAGTAATGATTGTCCACAACCAACCACAAAGACACAAAAATTTATCTTAAATTTGTTGTAGACGACTTATAAAAAGGGCTATGTAAGGGTTGGTTTTTGATATATTTGTTTGACTAGTTTTAACCCGCAAGAGCATAATCAAAACACAATTTATATGAATTGAAATTTGGACAGAGTTTCGGTATAACAATTACGCAAAATAAGGATTAAGGAGTAGAAATAGAGAATAATTCAAGGCGAGACATTATCTCTTTCCTTAAGACAAATTGCCCCGCTACGGTTCTCACGATGAATGGCACTTGTCTTCCAAGATACAATGAATTCACAATTTATGGTAACAACACTTCAAATCACAAGAAACAGACGAACTTTTGACAGAATTTTCCCTCTACAAAGGAAATGTATGAAAATGTTATGGAATTAGAAATGAGAGAATTGCAAGAGAAGAATGAATGCTCAATGCAATTGGTGTACCCAAAATCATGTTCATAGGCTCCTATTTATAGATGTAGAAAGGGTGCAAATGAAGTAATGTCGGTCAAAACATGCATCCTCTCGAAAAGTTGCAACACTTGGCCAAAACCCGCATCATTTCGAAAAGTTGCAGCACTTCATTTCTTCCAACTTTTGTCCGAAATTTCTCATTCATCCAGAATTGGTTTCGAGATTCCAAATATACCACGACGATCTACTCGAAGAGTAGAATAAGTTGGTTTATTTACTTTTGTAATTTGACCATCGGATCAAGTTCAAATATTTGGTCGAATTGACACGTAGTCACACCTTTTTATTTTCTAATTTTTTATTAATTATTTGAACCAATTCCTACAGCAAGTAGGTTTAGTTGATTAATCAAGTCTTAACTGAGTTTGCATAAAGAACAATGAAAACCTGGGAAAGGATTTGGAAATTCTGATTATTTAAAAAAAAATTATATAAATGTAAGAATGAATAATCTCTTGTTTTGTGTCATTAATCTTCTCTCCACATATCATTTTCAACATCTACATATAGAGATATAACTGTTAAACCACAAAGGGGCATAACTATGGATGAAAAGACAGATACTACAAGAAATTGAAATACGCGCCTATACTGCACAGGGCAGTGCAGCAGCGTGGGAGTGCTGATTAGGCAGCACACATTCCCTCCATGCGAAGTCTTGTCAAACCTTTTCAATCGACCCTTCTAATATTTGAACAATTATTCTAGTCGAGTCTATCTTATCAGACATACCCTGTTTGTATCATACTCAATTCTGATTTTCATAAAGAATCCCAAAGTTAACTACAATATCTTGAAGGCTACCAACTCTTGCGGCATGGCTAACTTCAGTAAAAGTGTCAATTCTTAATGCAGGATTATACAACTCAAAGAAATCAAGAAACAGAGTTTCTGAAAAGAAAACTTAAAATCACGAATCTGTCACGAAAAATTCACAAGAAATAGACAAACAACAGACACAATTTCAAAACAAAGTTTGCATTATTGAGTATATTAATCTGTCTAAAACAATGGAGTACATAGAATTTCAAAATAGGTGGACGAAAAGTTTGATATACCACCTCACTCCACATTTTAACGTAAAGGACAAAAAATTCGAAAAAAATAGTTTATACTGACTAACAGGAGGACTAAAAGAAAAGATTCATATGCCCTCACTGAGTTTAAAGAGACTAGACGGGAACGCTAATTGGCTTCCCTCTGCCCATAGTGAAACCTCGAGTTCCATCTGGCATTCTTGGCCCTTTTGGAGTCTGTCTTGAAGATACTTCACCCATGAAGGAGCTGCCCAACTGAGAAGATGGAACAGAAAGGCTGCGCTTGCTGTGAAGTTGAGTCCGTTGCCTAGATTTCCCTCGACCTCTAGCCCAAGTTTGCTTAGACCCAACTGAATTTTCTTCAATCTACAAGAAAGAAAAAACTCTTAAAAGTAACTTTTTGTTTCCAGACATCTTTATATGTTACTGCTTTTGCTTACATTCAAGTAAAAATGGTTACTTGAAGCTGTTAAACAAATGTTCTTTTAAGCTTAGCCAAACATGCTATTATATTTACTTACAAGTAAACTTAGTTAAAAACTTAGTTAAAATTAGACCTTTTAAGCATAGCAACAGATGCTCGAAGATCACATTCAGTTTTCGGTTGCACATTAAAAAAACTGTCAGTTCATACAAAGAAACTCATACTTCAGCCTCTTTGTAGGATAAATGACAGGATACCATTTTCCTTTCAAGGATTATACTTAAACTTGTCAACAGAAATTAATACCATTTTCCTTTCAAGGATTATACTTAAACTTGTCAACAGAAATTAATAGCATGAATGATATAAAACTAAGATACTCATACCATTTTGAACAAAAATAGTTAAGAGGTTTAATAAGAAACTTGACAGTGTCAATGGTAGCACTAGCAAAGAAGTTACCTCAACTGATCCCGAGGTATTTTGATGAGAGGAATCTTCTTGTAGGTCAAGGACCGGAGCTTCTTCATCATCTAAATAGCCATCGAAATCTGACTTCCTATTCTTGAGCACAGATTTCGGCTGCATTCACATTAACATCAACAAAAGTAAGCGTTTTGGGTAAAAAAGCGTAGAGAAACAGATATATCTCAAAAAATAAGAGGTTTTAGTTTAATCGATCGTACTGAACGCCTAAGCAGGCACCTCACACGTAAACCTTTTCTCCAATTTCTTTCATCGTTTAATTTCTCCGCCTGAAGAGTCAATAAATGCTGCAATATCAGGCAAGGGAAAAAGAAATCTAGCCAAAAAATAATAATAATAGTAATAAAAAATAAAAAGACGAAAAAGGGTCAATATGTGTACTGCTTTCTCTGCTGTTTCAGTGTTCTCGTACTCTATTAGTGCATGAAGCTTCAAAAGAAAAGGCAAGAATAAGGGAACATCAATAAGCACATACTGGAAAGTGAAAGAAAATATCAAAGAATGGTTTAAGTTCTCCATACCTTATGACTGATGATAGAGTCGCTTTTAGATCGCGAAGAATTAGGTTCCTGTGGTTGGCATATTCTGATTGTTTTGACACTGAAAATAAGCATATACATTCCATAAGTGTACAATTGTATGCCAGATAACAGAAATCAAAGGGGGGATTATGACCCTACCTTCCGACCACATTGAATATTTTTTCAATGTTCTGATGCGAGTGATTGTCAGGTAGATTTTCAGCTACAACAGTGCGCAACTGCACGACAGATCATAAAAAGTGGATAAAATGAGAAGTTTTCAATTTATTTAACAACCCAAAAAAGGCATTTATATACCTGCAGCTCCTCTTTGTCTTTATCAGTGAACCGGTTTTTACGTTTTACCTTCTTGCTATCATTGCTCACAATCTGCACAACATGGTTACAAATGCAGAATATTCATCCGAAAGAAGAGATTAGAAAATGAATGCATCTCTTTTCTTCACAAGAATGGATAATACTAAGTACCAACCAGCTTTGAAGAGGATCGAAGAGCTTGTGCTACCAACTGATGACTAATGTTGAGGGATTTGAGTTTCTTTGTAGATGCAACAACAGCTATTGGAACTGTGAAAATGCCAAGATTCAAGGACAAAATTAGAAACCTGAGGCATAATAATCAATGCTGTAAGTTCAATTCTCTGCTGTTCCAAGATCCTTACCGAAGCCTTCTGGATCTTTATTCACTTGTTTCACCAGAGCTTCATTAGCTAGCATGCTCATGTCACTAAATTGATATTCTACCTGTCACACACCCGGAATTTCAAAATAAATGTCCAACAAAAAAATTATCCTCGAAAGACTTAATACTAAAATGCTGTCAGATCCAAAACATTTCTTGTTACTTTTAATCAGGGAAATATCTTGACACGGCCATCAGGTGGACCAGGTTTACACAAGCATCGGCATTTGAGTCAATCCTAAGATGATTCAAGAAGCCACTTCTATGATAATTGATAGCAACATTTAAGGAAATGAAGAATTTACAATAAACAGAAGCACAATAAGAATACCCTATTCATTATTCAATCGTGGTTCAAAGTTGTGACACGCATCTTTATTTTATGAGATATGGTTTATAAACACGAATCAAGGATATGAGTTATTCCTTAGATGAGCTGAATGATGCACTCCTATAATAATTGATAGCAACTTTAAGAAAATGAAAAATAACAACAAACCAAAACACCTAAAAATACCCAATTTGTTATTCAATCACGGATCAAAGTTTTGACGCGCATCTTTATTTTGCAAGATAGGGTATATAAAAACGAATAAAAGGATATGAGTCAAAATGCCACAATCCTATGATCATTGATTACAACATTTAAGAAAATGAAGAATAACAACAAAAGGAAGCGCAATAAGAATATCTTATTCATTATTCAATCATGGTTCAAAGTTTTGACACGCGTCTTTATTTTACAAGATATGGTATATAAAAACAAATAAAGGATATCAGTCAAAATGCCACAATCCTATGATCATTGATTACAACATTTAAGAAAATAAAGAATAACAACACACCGAAGCCAGTAAGAATACCCTAGTTGTCATTCAATTAGTCAATCAAAGTTTTGACAAGAGTCTTTATGTTACAAGATATGGTATACAAAAACAAACAATTTCGTGACTACAGACTTGTTCAAAACATGATAGAACTTCATTAATAAACTTTAATGCAAACATATTTCTTCCCCTAATCAGTTCTAGTCGAATCAAACATATTAACTAGTAGCCAAAATCATTTATCAATCAAAAAATAAATGACAAAGATTAAAAGAAACCCCAAAAAAGAACCTGTTTAATGATCTTTTGGCTAAGCTCATCAGAAAGAACATCCTTGGGATGATGATGCGACGGACCCGAATGACCCTTAACATTCGTATTTGGAGCAACCAAATTGGGGATCGTTTCTTGATCAGAAACGTACATCCAATTCCCACCACTCCCATCAATGTATTGAATTGACGGGTAAAAATACCCGGTTATCGGCACCTTTGTCGGGGACTGAGATTTGGGAACAAACTCCGGCGCCGCCGCATTGAATTTGAAAGTGCCACTTGTTGTACTTCCTTTTTCCTTCTCCTCCTTGATATCAACATCGTCTTTTATTTCTGTAGGATTCAACTGCGCCATTTTTCCACAACAAAAAAAGAATGTAAGACAAAACAAAAGATATATGTTTGAAATCTATGTTTCTTCAGTCCCTTGTGGGGACTAAAATTGATTGTGGATTTTCTCAGATGGGTTATGGATGAAAGAATGGTGTTGAAGCGGAGAAATCGGTGGTTTTTATCCAGAATTGTAGTAACTGAAAAAATGGGATTGTATTGGATCGAATGAACAATCCATATTCCGCGCAAACAAGAGTGATTGATGATAATTCATCACTTTCTTACAGATAAACGTGGCTCAGATGTTTTGACCAAGTCCTATATTTATCTGAGGTTCGGAAAGAACGTTGTACAAATGTCGGTTCCATATGCATGCATATTATGGCCATCTGCAGGAGAAAAATAATAATAATATGTGAACATTTTTTGGTTCATTTTAACACTAAGAAATCAGATATTAATTAATTTTAATTTATGAAATAATTGATTAAAATATATTTTATTAATTAAACGTATTAAGGTCACAATTCGATATTGTTTGATTACAAATTATCAAATTAATTGATAACAAATTATTTCTCGATCACGAATAAAAAAATTTAGAGGTCACAAATTATTTTATAGTCACAAATCAAAAATTTTATATGTCACAATTTATTCATCGATCATAAATCAAAAAAAATTATAAGTCACAATTTATCTATCGATCACAATTACAAATTTTAGAAATCATGACTCAAATTTTTAGATGACATTATTTATTGGTCACAAAATGTCAAATTTATTGGTTACAAAATCTCAAATTATTAGTTACAATTTAGCCAATTTATAGGTCACAATAACTAAATAATTGGTCTCAGTTCCTCTTTATACATCTCCAACCTAACACAGCCCATCACCACCACCAGAACAATCATCTCACCACCAATAGGACCACCACCGCCTGTACTAAGAATCAAAACCACCATCTCCACCACGCCGCCACCGCCACCAACCAAAAAATCCTCAAACCTACCATTACTGTTGTTGCCATCACTGCGACCACCACTGCCATTGCCACCAATCCATGGCCATAGCTACAGCCATCGTCGGGATAGTTTTTTTTTGGCTGACTTATTGAGCCTATTTTCCACAATGGCCTTTTCTATAAAAAGTACTATTTTACCCTTACTAAATTATTTGTAAGATATATCCTTTATCTTTAGGAACTTATTATTCAGGACCTATATCTATATTTTTCAATCTTTTGAACACTTTTAAATATTCTTTGTATCTTAATAATTCTTCAAAAATCCTAGGTTGTCCTTTCTTAGTTATATATCCTAGAACTAATCCTTCTGAGACTTCTTCTTGTATATCTCTATGTTTAATTATAATATCATCGATCTTTCTTATTTCTCTACTAGTTCTTACAGAATCAAATTATTTATTATATTTACAATTATAATCTATATCTCTATATGTTTCTTTAATTTTTTCTATGCCAACAAGAAATATGTCATCAGACTTTTCTGCTAACTTAAATAAGAACGAAACATCTTTTTCATCTAAAAATAATATAAGATTCTTATCATCATTAGTAGTAGAAGTGGATGCTTGTGAATTGTTCATCAAAATAATTAAAGCATAAAGATATAAAACAAGTAATAACTTACAGTAATCAAATGGATATAAAAAGGCTTTCCCTCCAGTATATTCTTATAGATGTTTTGCATGTACTTTAATCAATCTTCTGAATCAAGTAAAGTTTTAAAATGTTTTGAAATCATTTGGGTCCACAATTGCTTCCGCAAACGGTTTTTCAATTAAGGTTGCATTTCTCATTCTAGAGAACTAGCCGTGTTTCCACAGATGATATCTCACAGTATCCAGAGTCTCTGTTTTCACCTCTATCCAAACTCTTTTCAGAATCAAGTTCTTACTTGGAACGAAACTTTAAAAGATAACTCACACACAAGGTGCTACAGTTTTGTTAGAAAATTGCCTTTTTCCCCTAAACTATTCATCAAATATGGGTACTTTGGCATGGCTAACATCCATTCAAAATCAATGTTTTAAAAATCTTTTAAAATCTCTATCTGTATTGCCGAGGAATCATGAGAAACTTAAAGAAATCATTTTATGTAAGTTTTGTTGAACATAACAAACTTTACTTTGATATTCATAAATTGAAATTGTACATGCTTACAAACTATATTTACATACCTTTGGTACTCACCTTATGAAGTTTAGAACTCCATAAGTGATTGCCTTATTACACGCTTTTCTATCTTCAAGCTATCTAATATTTTTTCTGAATACAAGTGGTGTATACAGATTACAAAAGATTTCTCTCGGATATGTTTAAGAGATAAGCTATTTTGAGATGCCTTCCTTCTTCCTTCATGCCCCTTTTTATAGGAGATTTTGAAATTTTATCTTGGACAGGTGTTTTCCACCTTTCTTTGTTGCGTAGTTAGGCCATCTTATCTCCACCGAATTTTTCCATTATCTTCTTGCTAGTGGACCTCTCCTTTTGAAATTAGATGCCTTATCTTTTGAGTTTGTCTGCCACCTGTAACAGTTGGTGGGTGAGTAGTTACAATAATGGAGACTTTTTCTTGCATTATTTCCTGTCTTTAGTAGCCACAGTTTTTCTTTAATAAATTTCTTTATTAAAGTAGTGATAAAGGGCTACTTTTGTCACCATCACTTTTCTATTTTTGAATCAAAGAATTCTGTAGGGAATTCTTCATCATTAAGGGATGCTTGACTCATATCTTCTACTACACAGTATTCACAATGATGATCACTGTAATTCCAAAGTAATTTACATAGTTCTTTGGCCATATCTTCTGATCCATTTACTTGGTTGGAAATAATTGCAGATAATAAATGATCGAGATAACAAATATCTTCTTCTTTGGTAGCCATCCTTGCATTGGAATATATAATATGATCTTCAGATGGATAAACCCATATTTTTTCTTTCTCAGTAATTATCTGGATTACATGTTCAAATATCTCTTTGTACCATTTAGCTCTTCTGTAGGGCATCATATTAAGAATATCTTGATATCCATTTTTAACAACCTTTTGATTGGTTGGTAAAAAATGTTGATTTGTAAATCCCATTTTGATCACATGGAACGATGGATGCATATATTCAAGGACTGGATCACATTCCATTGTTGCTGAATGGAATCTGATATATATATATTTGTTGTTTTAACAACTTCAGTATATCTTTTAACAGCTTTCCTGATATTGGCTGGAAGCTGAGCTATCTTTTTGAGATCTTTATTAGGATATATACAAGAGATAGATCTTTGTTAGGATATATACAAAGTATATTTCCTATTTCAAAGCAATTTCGAACCCAGTTGGCTGGTGCTCCTGGATAAAAATTTATCTTGTTGTATTTTGAATAGTGGAGAGTCTTCATCCACTTTCCAATCTCCAGATACCAATCTAATAAAATATTGAAAATAATAATAAAGAGTGTTACTTCTTCATGGTTATCTTTTCTAGGAATTTTTGCTTCATGGCATATCTTGACAATATCTTTAGGATATATTCTTTCAATAGAAAGTTTAGATTGAGTTTGGCTCTGTGAAGAGCTACATTCTCTTTTGATATCTTGAATATCTTTATTACCAGTAATAGGTTTGAGTATTCCCTGTAAAGGGGTTCCTATTACCTTCTTTTCTTTCCCTTTATCCTCGGGAAGAGCACTAGTATTCACAAGTCCCTGCGAAGGGATACTAGTCTTGGTACAAGTAACTTCTGCCTCAATGGCTATATTTTTGCCTCGAAGGCTATCTTGGATATTTTGAATTTGGGTTTCCAAATAGGAAACTTTTATCTCAAGTATTTGGACTTTCGTCCTTAGTTGTTCTAGCTCCATCCCTGCTAAGATAATCAGGAAGAAAGTTAGCTTTTCCTTTAATATATTCAATATCAAATTTGAAATATGAGAACCAAATTTGTATTCTAATAATATATCTATTAGTAGTAGATGGATCAACATTATTTTTCAAAAATACTTTGACTTGAGTATTGTCAATTCTAATCAAGAACTTCTTTGGTAATAAATATTCTTCATATTTTTGAACTCCTCTTTTAACAGCAATGAGTCTTTTTCTGTTTATCTCATATCTTATTTCAACTTCTTTGAAGGTCCCTGATGTATAACCTGCAAGTATCTCAGGACAAGCACAATCTTTTTCACATTTATATTCTTTATGATTCTTTTTTACTTTTAAGACTACTCCCCAGTAATAATCGGAAGCGTCAGTTTCAAGAATAAAGAAATCTTCTTCTTGTGGTATTACTAGTTTGGGCAATACCTTTAACTCTTCTTTAACTTTCCTTATATTTTCAGAATCTTGTTTTTCCCAAGACCACATTATATTTTTTCTTAATTTTGGAAGAAAATTATTTTTTAATTTGGCACAATTTTCAATGAATCCTTCAGCATAATTAAATATACCAAGGAAGCTTTGTAATTATTTTTTATCTTTGATTTCTTCAGGAAATTCTTGAAATTTTTCTCCAATATGGGATTGCAATTGCAATTCTCCTTCTTTAATAAATAATCTCAAAAACTCTATTTCTGTTTTGGCTATTTCAGCTTTCTTTTGAGAAAGTGTAATACCATGTTTTTTCATAATATAACAGAATTTCTCAAGATGTTCAATATGTTCTTCAATATTATTTGAATGAATAAGTAAATCATCAACATATGCAATACAGAAATGAGTAATTGATTTTATTACATCATCCATCCTTCTTTGGAATATCTGTGGTGCATTTTTTAACCCAAATGGCATTACATTCCATTCGTATTGTCCCAAAGGATTAGGGGTACTGAATACAGTTAGTGGTTTACTTTCTTCTGTAAGCATGATTTGCCAAAACCCTGACTTACAATCAAATTTTGAAAATATCTTTTTATTTTGTACTTGCTTGATAAGGATATCCTTATTTGGTAAATAATATCCATCAAACTTAGTAACTTCATTTAACTTTTTGTAGTTTATTACCATTCTGGCTTTTCCTCTTTTTATCTCGCTATATTTTCTAACCATAAAGGCTGGGCTGCTATGTGGACTTTTACTATGCCTAATCAATCTGGCTTCTAGCAATTCTTTTATCTGGTTTTTAAATTCTTTTTGATCATCAACACTATATTTCATAGATTTGACTCTTACTATAGTGTTTGGATTGATTAATTCTATCTTTACCTTTAATTTTTCTGTATTCCATTTTTCTAATGGAT